AAAAAAAAGCAAATCCCTAAAGTTAGGTGAAAACTCAACAAGTTGAAGAAGTTTAGCCTTCAATTCTTTTTCATACTGGGGTCGGCAGAGTTAACGGCTTTGATTTAAACAAAAAGACTGGCTTTCGTTTTGCGGTATTCAACTGAACGGGAATAAGCCCCTGTAAGTTTTAGCACAATCGCAGGGGAAAATTGTCTCATCGATATCATGCATCTTTATGGATCTTCTGAGGAAAAGAGTTCTTTTAAAAACTTTGAACAAAAAGACAAGCTTCGTCATTATCGAACGGTCCCTGTGCAAGTTGCAGATCAATTGCAATTTAACAAAACACTCGGGAGAACGCGGAGCGTAGAACTGCAGCAATTTTCCTTCTTTCTGTTCACGAGGGTCTTTTCTATAACAGAAGGAGTGAAATGAACAAGGCAAAAAAAAAAAAAAAAAAAATGGCGTGAGAAGAGAATCGTTAGAGAATGTGAGTCATTCAGCCATCTTCATCAAAACACAAGCTGATCTGCCAGCCCATTAGGTCTCCGTGTCCATACTGATAAACAGCGGATGAGCCACAGCGTGCACACATTGACAAATACACCCACTGATCAGACAGTATTCGTATGAAAAAGTCTGAAAACAAGGCCACATAGAGCCAGTTCAATCCAGCATGTAAGCTTCTTTACCACACGGCCTGCGGCATGACACCCTACTGGCATTGCCGTGGCCTCGGGATGACCTCTAACAGTAAAGTGTGTAAAACTATAGCGTCTAGGATGGCTAATGTGGCCACAGGCTATGAGCCAGTCGCCAGCAATATCGCACTCATCTGTCTGTAGCCATGTCTTTCTTTTTAATGCCCATCTCTCCCCTTTTCCTCAGATGCACATCATTCTTGTAGCCCTCGTGCACTTTCCCGATCATTCCTTGCCGTCTCTTCTCTCTCACACACACACACACACACACACACACACACACACACACACACACACACACACACAACACACACACACACACAACCACCACACAGACACATTCCACACAAACACACACACACTACACACACCACACACACACACACACACACCACCCTCTCTGCAGCTCTGGCTGAGATGCCAGACACAGTTAGAGTCCAAGAGCCACTTAGCACTAAGACTCAGCAGCTGTTTGCTCTGGCCTGCTGTCCCACAGTGCCAACTTCAGGACCACAGTAGAAAAGGACACACTCCTCTGCCCGCTCACATTGTTCCAGAGAAACTGCTGTTTTAAGATGAAGCTTGTGTGTGTGTCAAAGACAGAGCTGCCCACACAGGATACACTTTTTATGGTGGTATGCCTCTGGCAAAAACTTTAAAGTAGCTGGCTTTATTTCGGGGAGGATATGTCAGTAAAGGTCTCGAAACTTTTCTTGTTGCTCTAGTTATTTTTAAGTGCTTTGTAGTGGCCGATCTCATGGCCAGTCGCGCTCCGCTGCGATGAACTGTTGTTTTTGGCTGGCGTTTAAGGTGGAACTGATCATGGTTCAGAGACAAGCTGGTTAAGGCCAGCACCAGGCCACACACAACAAGCACATACCAGGGAGATTTACATGCTATGCCAGCCAAAAGTCTTGCTTTTCACAAGCAGCAGGGCCGTGTGGGAGGACAGGTTCCATTTTGCTACTTATGTGCATATATAAAAAGAAAATATATATACCATGCTAAATGCAAACCCCAACCACCCACTTACCAAACAGACACATTTACCCAGGTCATCTCTTTGAGACACCAAGTCTCCGAACTCTTTACCTTAATTTTCTGCCCATACACTCTTCTGCCTTCCCTCTCCTGGCTTCCAGGGATGGGGACTTATGTCATGAACACTCGGGCGGGATGAAACGAGGAAAGCCGGCATGCTAACGCCCCGAGTGCGAGTCCAGTGCCCACTGGACTCGCACTGCAGCACTGGAAGAAGAGATCTCTTGCTGGCACTGCAACAAAGACACCGACGGGTCTGCGCCCCCAATGAAGGCCAGTGGCATGATTTCATGTTCCAGAGGAGCTGCCAAAAATTGCAGTGAATGCGTGTGAACAGACAGCGTAGCGAAGACGGGAGGGAGGTCAATTCTGAGAAAGTCGAGCAGCGAGGAGGAAATGACAACCAAGAATATGTAACTGGCTGCAATAAATAGTTCAACATGAAAGAGGATACATGTGTGCAGAGCTGTATGCATGATTTACAACATTTACAAACACCCCAGAGAAAGTTAAGGGTTGATAAGCTGGAGTTACAGAGACGGCGCTGTGAAAGCAACAGGGCAGGCCTTCGGACATAGGACATTATAAACGAGACAAATGCACTTTTTAGCCAAATCTGATAAAGAACACATCAAACACTACATTGAGAGCCCATTTGCTCTCAGTTCTCCTGCTGTTATGGGGAGGGGCTCTAGTTCTGTGGCACACTGAGGTCAGAGGTTTTATAGTCCTGGAGCTCTCACAGGAACCAGACAGGAAGTGCAGGAAAAAACTGTGTACATATATATGACACACCAGCACTTTAGTGAAGTTTGCACATGGACTTCAGAGGCTGGAATGACCGACCCCTTTTCCTGTGTCTTCCTCTACTGCGATTATTTTATTTGTCAGAGCAGTTCTCTACAATAATGAGCTCAACCCGACATCCCTGTGCCACTTAGCTGAATAACCGAGTACAAATCACAAAAGCACAGAGGAGCAATGTCCTGTGTAGCTCCAGCTAAAGACAATCCAAACCAAGAACGAGACTTTACAGCGCTAAACATTTAGCATAGCACTAGAACATCAGTCTGTCCCTACTGTTGGATTCATCAGGTCTCAGAAATGTTTTCTCCATCAAATGTTGCTTTTAAAACTGTTGGAATGATCATAAGGACCCGACGATGCAAGGCCCTTCCTCAAATTCAGCCAACCCTAAACAGAGGAGGGAATGCCCATCAGTGAGTGTTGATCAGCTCCGAAGCACAGCTGGGGGCCCAGTGTTCCCAGACAGTTTATATTTAGACGCTAGGTTTTTGTAATTGAATGGAATCTAAATTGACCAGACAAGACCCTGACACTGTTGGTGGCAAAGTGGCAGTAAAGCACACTTGGGTTCAGTCAGGGGACAGTCTGGTAGGGCGGGAGAAGGGTGGGGGCCGCCGAGCACGAGGCCAGGCCAGGCGGGGTGAGGGTGCAGGAGTGGGCATCGTATCCGGAATGGGGCTGGGCGCGTAGCGGCCTGGTGGTCTGGCTGGCTGGTCGGGCAGAGGGAGCAGACTGGTAGGGGGTAAACACTGGACTGTCTGGCCTGGCAAAAGCGTTTGTGCCAACGCAAAGCACCCAGCTGTGTTCAGGCCCCAGGCGAGGGTTTGTCAAGATGCAACAATGGGCTTTCCCTCCTCTAATTATAGTCCTGGCTGAGTACACACAGAGGAAACAAGAGTGACCTAGAAGTTGGGGAGGCTGGCTAGAGGCCAAAAGGTCACAGGCCAAAGTTCTTGCCATCACCGCTACAGTGTCCCTTAGCAAAAGATCAGATCTAGAATATATAAAAACGGCCAGCTCATTAGGACTCTGCTCTGACCTGGTCCACTAAGCGGAAGGTGTGGGTTTCTCCAACTTGGGGTGTCCCCGTGGCTCAGTTGGCTAAGACACATCCCGCGTAACCACAACATTGTGCATCTGAATCTGACACTGGTGCATACTGTATCCTCCATTCATCCCGTCTCTCCTGTGTTTTTATTTTTTCTTTTAAACATGGTATGAAGGAATAAGCTGACGGGAACGACTGAACAAAAACTATCAACCTCGTTCCGATTCGCTCTCTTCCTTCTGAAAATGCACCTGCTTGTATTAAATTGCTGATCTAATGATACGGACATGATTCGTATGCTTACAGAAAAGGCAAACACACATTCAGCTTTGCGTTTATAGAAAACTGTCAGAATCAAAAACCAGGAGGGGAAATGACTGATGTTTGTGACCTTGTCAGGTTTTTGCTTGTACTTCTAGTACTACAGCCTACTACCTACCATTAAAAATCTGATAGACTGAAAACATATCTGTTTTACCATCTGTTTAAATGTATTATTCACGTGCCATTTCTTCCACTTGTGCTGCTGAAACTCAAGCGTGGGCACGTCGCCACGATAAGGACTACTTAGCTGATGAAATCCAGTTAATGAGTTCTGAGCATAACATTAGTTTTCAGGTCTCAGTGTATGTCAGCTAGAAACCATCATCAAACAAAGTGCACCATTAGGATGTTTATATGGCACGTGGGCTTCTGATATTATGAATGGCTGCTCTCTTTCTGTCACTAGGAATGTACAGGATAAATGAGACTATGGACAACACTCCCTTATTTCATCCTCTGGGGAATGTTGGTACATTCCATTAAGAGGAACACTTAATTAAAGCACGATAAAATACCACTGGAGGTGCCTGGGCACTGGAGGAAGGGAGGGCGGGAGGATAGGGATTGGGGAGGGATCACTACACTCTTGTTCTGACCACAATGGGAAGTAAGAAGCAAAATAAAACTAAACCATCCTTCCATGAATTGTCTCAGTGACTGCACTATATCAAAGCTAAACCCTTAAAGGGATTTTCATCAAATGCAAGGAAATAACTTTTCTTTACTCGCATGTTGACAGGTGACAATCTATTGTAATTTTAGGCAAATAGTAATCAAATTATTAGATATTTGTGCCCCAAGATGGCAAAATCCAAGGTGTTTTTTTGGGCTCTGAATATCAAAGAGTATTGCTAGCTTCTAATTTACAGTGAATTACGGTGTCAAAGTGACTCACCTGCATTGTTAAATGCTGATTTTCATTTTATTGCATGGTTCAACAAACCTGCAGTAGCACAGTAAAGAGCAAGGTGCTGTAATATATTAACTTTCTGAAAGGATAGTCATTGGATGTACATTAACGGGAAACAAAAGGCAAATTCAGAAACTAACACGGTGGCAAAACGGAAACTTGAAAACATAAAAAAGCAGTTCTTTACCTTTCCAAGCACCGTGAGACAACTGGGGTCCAACTCCGGCTGCTCCAGCTTCACCACACCAACCCAGCCATACTCGTATAGGTCCTCTTCATCATTATTATTACATAGTCCCAAAGGATGCATCTGGAAAGACAATAAGATGGAGAAATAAATATTTGTCTCTATGCTACGGAGCTAGTATCACATTAGAAAAGTCAGAATGTGCAACCTTCAAGATTAAAAAATAAAATGTGCATCCGACATACATGATGTATCAAGTTTCAGGGTCTTGGCATCCCCACGTTCTGAATTTGACTCACAAAGAGGTAAATTACAAGCTTAAAGCTGCACAAACATCTCTTGGATGCATTCCTCATATTTATAGGGAATATAATGTTCTTTTAACCTATGATGAAATTTAAAAGCATTAGGCACCTGAGCTATTCTCTGTGTGCTTAACTTATCCAGAATCTAAACATACAGAAGACCTTTTAAAGAACAGCAGCAACATAAGCAAAATCAGGATTTATGTGCTTTCATGGATCTGCTGATCAGGCACATTTTTACTGAATTTCTACTTAGGGAAAGGTGCATTAAGTCTACTACCATTGTTACTGCTGGAAATGATTAATGCTGCTGCCATTTCTATTGTGCTTGTGCATACATGCACAGTGACTGGTTACATTGCATCTTCTCTTCTTAAATTGGAAAGTGAATGTTGACATTTTCTTCGAGCAGCATCAAACATTGTCTATCAGGTAACTTCAGGTGTCAACGCATACACAAGGTCACTAATATGCACCAGTTCTTTGCTTTGCAGAGCAAACACATACACATTGTTTACATATAAAGGAGGGCATAAATCACTGATTGCATTTTTTCAACCTTCTTCATTAAAGTGGAAGATTTTCAAAGAATAAGAACAAAACAAAACAAATTCTGTTCTACAGTTTGACATCAGGAGACGGCTAAAAGCTAATCTAATCACCAATCTTGTGGATGTGCTAGAATGCACTCCCAAAAGATGTGTAAGTCATGAGGAAAATTAAAAGATGATAAAAAAAACAAAAAACAAAACAAATTCATTCTAAGCGTGTAATTACAGGTTATTATATTTTTATTACATTTTATGTGTTATTAAGTGTCCTTCTTTTTCTTCACATACCCACAAAAATATAAAAGCTCTCCAGCACAAAACATTAAGAAACCAAAAAAGGAATGGCCAGAGGACAGCCATGACTGTCAGGCTGTAATTATCAGGAAAAAGAAAAAAGAGAAAGAAAAAAAATCGGATTAAAAACTGTAACCAAGTGGAGTCACCAAAATCCTGGATCAATTCCCCACCTTGGCAACACAGCAAAGACAAGCTCGCGTATTAGCATTAGAACTGGGCCAAATGACCTGCAGGCCGCTTTCGTATTAACCCAGTGACCACGGCACCCCAATCTGTGGCTCCGAGCCTTAGGCTACTCTGGGCCGGGGGCTACTGCTGATGACCCAAGATACCCTTCTTCCACTGGTGAACCCTGACCTTTGAACCCCACTTCATCGCAGAGGGAGCAGGTTGGTTGTGCAGCAGGCCAATTGAAGAGAAATTCAGAAAGTGCCCAGTCACTTCAGTTCCACAACCCTGAGAGGTCAAGCCCCTGACCTGAAGGGGTTTTGGGGGAGGACTTAGCTAATAGTAATGGGGTCAAATGCAAATCAAGTGGACTAAGTTCGAGTCACAGGAAAGGAATGTGGACAACGTGCATCATGCTAGAGCTCCACAAGGTAGCATCTTCTCTTTCTGCCTTTAGGGAGGAAATCTGAATAAGAGGCATCGGCTTTAATAGCACGAAAGCAGACAGCAGAAATCATTTGCTTTTTGAGGTATCAAGGTTAGAATTACATTTAGAAAAACCTAATATGCTCAATTTATGCTCTTTATTTGCATTCCTAGATTGTACTAAAGTAACTTTTGATGATTAAACTTTAGGGATGGTTGATATGGCCCAAACAGAATATCATGAAATTTCAGAGTATTCTCACGATAACGATAAATTTTACGATATGACAAATTACAAAACTACAAAACTTCACAACTTTATTAACCTCATTCTACATGACCCATGTGAGCATAATCCACTGCCTAACTGGGTGACATGTTTACACCATGAAATTAGCATATCATGATATCGTTTTTTGGGACTTTAGAGCAATCTGAAGCCTGATTTAGGCTTCTAATCATTACTTGTATATCCGCTGAACTCATTTGAAACTTTGGCCATTTTTAACATAAGCGTGTACCATTGTTAACATGTCTGACAGAAAGTAAGTATAAGTCTCCTTTCATACTACATACACTTACTTTTCCACGTTTTCTCTCTTATAGCCTGAATTACACCTTTACAGGAAAAAAAAAAAAATCCTCATCCTTGAATCCTCCTCCTCAGACCTCCCACACACAGACAAAAGTACGTGTGCTCAAACATGAAAGCTTAAGCTCCAACATTCAATCACAACCCTTTGAAACAAGTGGATCATTCTTGCAACAGCGCGCAAACACATAAAAAGTCATCACCAAGCGAGGCTTTCCTGACTCAAAACACCTTTTTACACATCCACAGGATGCAGTCACCTTGTCTTTCTGATTTCACATAAAACAGATTTTCAAAGCTGCCCTTTCTCGCGTTGTAGAGCAAAGCTTGCTCGGGTTGACCGTTCGCCTTAGGCTGACAGGAGCAGGCAGGCGGAGCAGGTATACATTACATACACATTTGGTATGATAATTTTAAAGCATATTTTCCCTCTCAGCTTTTGGAGGACGGCAAAATTGAAGGGAAAGACAAAGATTAAAGTGCGTAACTTGGTAAGTTTTCCATTCAACCAGCATCTCCCGACCTGCCCCCCTCCACATGTCATCACTGTACAAATCATACCATCTCATCTGCTCTGTGCATACCGCACACTGCAGTCAACTAAGGTAACATTTTAGATGTTATGTTAGATAAGGTGCAAGCGTGCAGATGGGAAAGACGCAGAGATAGTGTTGTGGTGGATCTACATGAGGACCGGGAAGCGTAGCCCTGCTTGCACTGTGATTATGACCTCCCTCTCCGGCTTGTCTAACAGCTTGGATGGTGGTGGGGAGCCCCGCCTGCGCCCCTGGTCCCTAAACACTAGGCCATTGTGCGGGGGCACTTGGACTCCAAATGGGACAGTGTTGTTGTTGTGCACCATGTTGTTATTTTAGAGGCTGGCCATTGCACCATTATCTCCACCACAGAGACTTTTTTTTTTCCCTTTTCTCAGATGTTGACGTATATGCGTTGATGGATGTGGGGATGGGGAGCAAAAGGAAAAGGAGCTCGGACTTGGATGAGAGATGAGAGGTGATCTTGCAAAGTGGGTCACAGCTACTGGCCGAGCAGACAAAAGATTAACGAGCACATATGCAAACGTGCGTTCACGCACACGCGCAGTTCCATGAACACACAATAAGACAGAGACTGTTCTCTCTTGTGTTCCAACTGCTAGCTTTCCCTGCAAGGCCCCAAAAATCAAACCAGCTCAGCCTGCTGGAAGCACCGAAGTGCTCCACTTTGCTCCGTTGCTTCGTACCCCAGGTTTGGAGGAAAGGCATAAGGCACTCCCTAAGTACCACAAGGGGGCGTCTCTTGTTCTACCCCATCTGTCCTGCCCCTTGGGGAGGCAGCCTTTCACATGAATATCTTGTTACACAAGCCACACTCGCAATAAAGTCCTGGCGGGGATTTGAACTTGGCTTGTCACTCAAGCTAGTCACACCCCCCCACCGACCAATCTTACACCTCCGTCTGGAGAACCACCTGCAGACATTGTTAATATTCAGCACTGGTATAAAATGGAAATTGACGCAAACTTTGTTGTAGCAGTGCACCAGTTCACTCTGGTTGTTATAGCAACACTGGATGAATACATTTCATACTTTAATCTAAATATTTTTCAAACACTTTCACACATTATGACTCATAAGAACATCACACAATCATCTTTCACTCAGAGATCCTTAATGGTCAAACAAGTGACCTGATAACTGTTGGTAATGGGATCAAAACAGAGCCGTGCTCCTTAAAACTCCCACCATCACCACTCGCACCCCCCAAGCTCTCAAAGGAAATCAAAATGCAAGTCACACCACTCAATGCCATTCTTCCCACTCTGTCTGTGACACAATTCGCTCAGCCTTTGATCGTACAACAACCACTTCTGCTGCTTCCCCATCCCGCTTCCCTCCCCTCCCCTTTGCCACACCCCTTTTCCCTCTCTCCTTCTAAATTATTGGTGGCCCCAGTTACAGCCCCCCATTACCCCTTTTCCCTCTTACACGTCCAAGACAGTCGCCCTACCTTGCCCTCGCCACACTATATTGTGCTTCTGTGAAAGTGGTAGTTACATTTTTTTCCCCTGTGCTGTGTATTAATGTGCTTTTTACAAATTCCATTCCCTCTGGTATCCTAACAAGATGAAAAATAGGAATGCTCAACATAAAAAGGTCATAATCAGCACTTTAACTCAACTTAAAAAAAATTTAAAAATCCTGTTTATAACTCTTTCCAATCTATTTTTGACACAGAAAAATAAAAGGCTTTTTATTTTTTGCGACAAAGCACAAACTTCAAAAAGATTACTCTCCAATCGTGCTTTTAGCACCACCAGCAAGGAAAGCCTTGTGAACTGGAGGGGAGCTGATGCTCACAGGGTACCAGAATCTAAAATTCCAAAAGAAGCTGCTGAATTGCATGTTTATTTAAAGTGATGCACTTGCTTGAAAATGGTGCATAACAACAAGCCATCCATACTACAGCACGGCAGGAGCCAAAAACATCAAAAGCAAGTAGGACGGGATGATCCCTGAGCTAAACCGATCTATACATGTTTATAGACTTGCATGTACTGTCTGTTCTTGACACCAATATTTTACTCAATCTGAATTCCAACACTTCCTTTAATGAGCTACAGGCCGCAGACAATAAGCCTCGGTTACAACAAAGTGGAAGTGCACGACAGTTTGTATTTGAAGTTCTTGAAGCTGGCTAAATGATTAACCACGCAGATCTCTCGTTTACCGATTCCGCCTATAAGTTTTGGAAGAGGAGCTGGCACCAATTTCACAAGCACAC